AATATATATATATAATAAATATATGTTTTTACTTAAAATATATAGAGAATACCTTTTTATGATCATAAATAGGTCTCTACATCTTCTACACATAGTTCATTGTATGGATGTTCTATTATTTATGTAAACAAACCTCTATCATTGAATAAATGGTTTTTACAGTTTCGCTCTAAAAAATGTGATGAGCATCCTTACACAAACATTTTGTGCACTCGCCTGCCTATTTCCATAGTTTAAATTCTCAGTAGTGTAATTGCGAAGTCAAAACTATACTTATTTTAAGCTTTTGGTGCATGTTGCTAAAATCACCTTAAAGGGGTCATTCCCATGTAGACTCCATCTGAGACAAGACCCATCTCCACATCCTTTCTGGGAATTTATCTTTTTAAAAAATGTGTTATCAGACTACACTAAATGGCTCCCGGTACCATCCAGCGACCTGAACGCTGCCTTTGCCTTAGCAGGTTTGGGAAGGGGGAGAATTGCCCTGGCGCAGACGGCGGGGGTCCTGAGGAGTCTGGAGCAGGAGGAGCCCTTCGACTTGTCCCAGAAGCGCCGGGCGTTCCAGTCGGACGGGGAGAGCGCCAGGGGCAGCTCCTGCCACGAGGAGGAGGAGGACGACAACTGCTACGAGGTGGAGCCAGACAGCCCTGGCCTGGCCTCCCCCAGCAGGCAGCCCCGCGCTCCGCGGGATCTCTCCACCAAGGCCGACCCAGCCCCCAGAGCACGCCAGGAAGCCTGCGAGGAGGAGAAGGAGGAGGAGAAGGAGGACATGTTAGAGGAAGGACACGAGGAGAAGAGCAAGGACAGCCCTGAAGCAGAGGGCGGCCAGGAGAGAAACTGTGCCCACAGAGACGAGTGTCCCAGCCTCCGGGCTCTCCAGAGCGCCAGGCGGGGTGCCTCCTTTTCTGATTACTTGTACTTCAAGCACAGAGATGAGAGTTTAAAAGAATTACTGGAGAGGAAAATGGAAAAACAAGCAGTGCTTTTAGGTATCTAAGTGGGCAGTTTTAGAATTACATTTGGAAAATGAGAACTAGGCAGTTCAAATATAGCTTTCTGCATGAGCTATCATTTGCTGGAGACAGGCGAATGGCGCACATCTTCACAAATGGCTCAGACTAAATGAGCAGGGACTGTCCTCAATAATGTAAATGCTTCTCAGGTCGTTCATGGGACCCTTGATTTTTAACACACTTGCAGGGTCTTCTTCAGTGTTATTTTATGCATTTCCAGTCTAATAAGCTGTACATATTCTCCTAGATATGATTGTAAGCTGATGCTAAGGTGCTTTTAGAAATTCTATTTTTCTTTGACTAATATGCAATACATGGTAAATTTTTTTCGAGTTGCAAAAATATGGTGCTTGACATGTTACCTTATTAATGACTATTTAGTTGAATGTGTGAAAGTTATATTTTTCCAGATAGATGAAAATGAGTAGGAGTATATGTAAAAATTGCCTTTATTAAATAATCAAAAATGCCAGAATGAGACAGGAGGGTGAGTTATTAAAAAGGATGTTCTCACATAGTTGCAGAAATAAGATAAAAATTCAAGAGAAAATGAGTAATTTTGACTGGGAAACTCCGCTCCAGTTACCTTCATCAGGTGTCACATTCAGAGCATATTTTCTGATGGCCCAACAACACTCAGTGTCTACAGGCTAACGCCCTGTGTCTGAGCAGAGCTACCTCCTGGAGACCTTGCTCCAAGGCCTCATGTCCCATAAACAGCTGCAGGAAAAGTTGTCACCTTTGAGCCGTGGATTTTTCCTCAGTGCTGGAGCTGGGTGAGTGAGGAGGGAATTCTCCCCGAACTCTAAGTTCTGACTTATTTGGAGTAATCGAATAACCACCAGCTAATGACTAGTAAGGGAGAGTCTGGGCTGCGTTCTCAGTGCTGCCCGTACATTAGAATCATCTTGGGGAGCCTTTTAAAAAATAACATGCTGGGGCTTCACGGTCTGAGATTCTGACTTAATTGTTATAGAGTGGAGCCTCAGCGTTGGTTATTTTCCAGATTGTCCCATGATTCTTATATACAGCCAGGACTGAGAAAGCTGACTGGGCTAAAATAGTGGCTCCCAGGACCCTTTCCCAGGGATTCCATAAATGTTTCTGTTTCTGGCTTCAGACTCTTTAAGGTAGAGAGCACGGGACCTTGAAATTATAATGCTGACTTAGGCTTTTTACCTGTTCTGTAATAGCCTCACAGGGGACACACACGCACACACACACACACACACAACACACACTGTATAAACACACTTTTTATACTAGAAGACACACACACACACACACACTCACACACACACAACACACTGCATAAACACACTTTTTATACTAGAAAATGATGCCTATAATGTTTATGGTCACTTAATATGCTTAAAAATATATAGCCAGCCTATAGTGACTAATTATTTCTTCCTAGATGCTTGAATCATGATTTCGGTGAGTGACAATGACTATAATGGGTGAGTCGAACCCAGCAGATAGGCTTTCCTTAAGCACAGGTGCCGAGTAAAGCAGTACTGACAGGATGTCACATATGTGTGACTGACCATAAGCAGTAACTCTCTGGTACTGTGTCTGTGTTTATGAAAAAGTTGTTTCTTGGTTGGTAGTTTCAATTCATTTGTAGAGTTAGGTACTGTTTATTATTTTGCTTCCTCTCCTCTCAAAGTTTCTAATACATTTCTTTGGGACACCTGGCCCATCTCTGACTGCTGGATGCTGGCTTTTTCTCTTGGCCAAGGTGCTTCCCCGTTGGCCTCATTTAGCTCTCATCATTCACCTGTGTGCTTTGTCAATCCCTGATGCATTTCTCCTGCCATCTTTTTTAAAGCTCCTAACCTCAGCCTCACCATCACGAAGTGCTAAAGCTGTTTGGGTTTTCTACTGCCACCCATGTCAGAGCACCTGCAAAGGGGGTGGCGAAGGGAATATTGTGGTTTCTGCAGTTACAAACACAACTCTGGACCAAGAATCTATTCTGAGTCCTCAGAGAGCAACTTGCCTTCTATTCATCATTAATATAGCTCATCAGTGCCTCTGATGAAATCACCTAAAAGGCTTACAAAGTGGTCTGTGAGGTCATCAGCTCTTAGGGTCCTGTATCATATTCATCTTTCAGCAGCCATGTGTTGAGGACCTACTATAAGGGCTGCAGACTTCCAACTTGTTCTGGCTCTGGCTAGCTGGAATGGAGACCAGGAAATCTAGATTAGCAAGCTCTAGTCTTTTCCAACCAAAACAAATTATGTGGGGATGTTTGAGGATCAAGTTAATGTTGAGATGGTGAGAGTATGGTATAGAAGAGTGGTTCTCACATTGTCTATTGAGGAGCCAGAGGTCTCTCTTAGGCACCTCCAGAGCTGCAAGGGGAAAGGGAGAACAATCAGCTTTCATGCCCACATCACTCAGAGTGGCTCAAATTTCATCTGTTTTATATGTTAGCCTTCCAAGTAAAATGTCATTTTGGGAGAGGAAAAAAAGGTCCTAGGAAAAGTAATAAAAAATGTTATAGAGTATATTTTAAAGCCTGTTTTTAGTTCTTGATTCTGGATATGAGATATTTAATTAGGTCTAACTCCATGGTTAGTATACACTGACCTTTTGAGAACCAAGGTTGAAATGTTGGTTTTGTATGTTGTTGAGGGACAACCCTGGTTTAGACCTGTTGTTCCAGGGTAATTACCAGTCATGTCACCTTAACTCTCAAATGCCCTAGTTTGTGTGATAAGTTATATGGACACCTATGCATAAGCACAGAGCTCAGGGAAGGGCTGGTCAACCATGTTTAGTGAGCTGATTAACCAGAGTGCAGCCCTGAAGGGGAGCCCCTGGCGCCATCTTCAGAGAACTAAAGGATGAAATCATCAAGGTTACCAACGCTCCAGGGCCAGGACAGCATGACATTCATCTCATTGTCACACCCTGAAAATAGGTCACTACCAAATGCTTTCCAGGCTTTTGACCACTGTCACTTTGAACTAACCAACTGACCAGACAGATGGCATACTTTTATCTTTTTCATTCAGACTATGATTAACTCCTCATGTTGCCTTCCGATTCTTTTATCCTTTCTTTTTAAAAAAATTTTTGCTCTTCACTGGTCATGAGACTGAGGCTGACCTTTCATAGCCCCACAAGGGTAACTAGTGTATTTGTATGAGTAGTTGCATGAGAAAGCCCAACGTGCATACTGTATTTATTAAGCCCTGAAGGCATTTAATAAAATATTAACATCATGTTTTGAATCGTGATCTTTGCTTTGCTGGAACAAAATGTAACAAAGCTAACATTTCAAATCCTTCACATATTTGGACACTGTTACGCCAAATGTTGATTTTGTACAGAATTCTGGCTTGCTATTTAAAAACTAGAACTCCAAATGTGTAGCAACCCAAGTTGTGAATATTGCTTTCTGCTTCCGTGAAAAAGCAGTTTACCTGAAAAGAGCATGTAACCTCTATTTTGTTAATTTAAGCAAATAAAGACATGTTGAAAAAGCTGAGTTCATTATTTGCAAAAAACCCTGAAAGTTTGCAAGGAAGCTGCCATTGTCACTATCTTACTCCTGCCCTTGTGCTCACGTGGTTCTCGTTGGCCGGGGTCTCAGTCCCAGGGACACAGATGTTGGATTCTACTCCCCTCAAGGCTTCAGAAAGAATTAATGACCCTCAATTCAGCTGCAGGCAGGTGACATCTTCCTTGTTCTCTTCTTTTTTCCAATTCCAGAAAAATTAGTTCTGGAAGAGTGTCATGGGGAAATGGGAGGTTATAGGCAAGATTGCCTTTAACCTTGCAGCAAGTTCTTTATAGAATAAAATTCAGCCAAAAGGCAGTGTACTCTATGGGCAAGAGCACAGATTCTGATCCTGGGTTCAAAGCCCAGTTCTCCCACTTCTAATATTTGGAACCTGAGATCAATTCATCTGTGCCTCAATTTCCTCATCTGTAAAATGGGACTGAGAACGGTACCTTGCTCACACGGTTGTTGTGTGGATTAAGAGTTAATATGCAGCGGTCCCTAACCCCTAGGCCTTGGACTGGAACCGGTCTGTGGCCTGTTAGGAAACGGGTCACACAGCAGGAGGTGAGAGGCGGGCAAGCGAGTGAAGCTTCATCTGTATTTACAGCCGCTCCCCAGCGCTAGCATCACCGCCTCAGCTCCACCCCAGACCATCAGGCACTAGATTCTCATAGGAGTACCAGTCCCTGGTGCCAAAAAGGTTGGAGACCGCTGAGTCAATATATGTGTGACACAGTTTATGTCGTATAAGAACTATTCACTTATTACCATCAAAGAAGTGGCTAGGAAATAGAACACTCAGTTCTCCCTCCTCAACAGAGAACTCACAAAGCTGCATCGGCATGGGAAATCGTCCGTTTCTGAGACAACTTCCTTTTTAAACATTACACACCGTTATATGCCAAGCACTGTGCCAGACTGATTTACACACTTGATCTCATTTAAGCCTCACACGGCTCTGAGAGGCAAACCGTGTTATCTTCATTCTAATGATGAGGAAATGGAGGTTGAAGCGAGTGAAATAACTTGCTCCAAATTACCTACCTAGTTGGTAAATTCCTCCTCTGCCTTCAAAGCATGTAGCTGGTAGCAGGTTGAGTTCTCTGAAAGTAGATGCTGAGACAAATGTGGGTGCAAGATGCTTACTAGGGATTAGCACCAATGAAGAGAAGGAAGAGGAAAGAATATTGAGCGAAGAGAAGTCACACTGTGATGCAGGCCCAACCAAGCCTCAGCAGGCAGCCCTGGGGCAAATATTGCCCACATTAGGCAGAGATGTCCAGGCCTTTGCACCCCCGTCTCACTCAGTCATCAGATGTGGGCTGCTCAGGAAGGAGACATTTGTCCTCAGGAAGGTGTGACTCTTCAACAGGAGCAGACCCTCAAAGAGCCAGTGGCTGGAGGCTGTCTGCTGACCGCACTCCCCACAGTTTGGTGCAAGTCCTTCCTTGAAGAGAGACTGAGTGACTCATCTCTGCATCTACCACAGCCTACTCCTTGCATCACTCCAATCTACTTCTTCATGTATATTTATAGATCATCACTCCCAGGATTCCTATGGGCCTCCCTTTTAAGGGAAAACTCAGAAGATGAGAGTTAGTGGGACAAACTTCAGCCCCTACTGCAGCCCCCTAAGAGACACTTCCCCCATTACCCGTCTAGATCCCTCTCACCACCGATCTCAGTAGCTTTCCAAATCCTCATCTCCAAAGGGTCTGAGCCGTGGTCATCATGCTGCTATGAATTGAATATCTGTATCTCCCCCAAATTCATATATGGAAGCCCAAACCCCTGGTATGACAGTATTTGCAGGTGGGCCTTTGGGAAGTAATTAGGTTTAGATGAAGTCATGAGGGTGAGCCCTTCCTAATGGGATTAATGTCCTATAAAAAAAGGGGATCGACCAAAACCCTCTCTCTCTCTCTGAGGACACAGCAAGAAGGCAGCGATCTGAAAAGCCAGAAGCAGGTCCTCACCAGACACAGAACCTACTGGCACCTTGATTTTGGACTTCGCAGCCTCCAGAACTGTGAGAAATAAATGTCTGTTTAAGCCGCCCAGTCTACGTTATTTTGTTATAGCGGCCCAAACGGATTAAGACACATGCCCTTTTCAGAATGAGGTTAATTTACAGTCACAAATGGGGAAGAGAGTACCAAAAGAAACCCAAATGAATCACCTGGGCTCCACACGCATTCCTCCCTGACCCATTGTCTCTCTCTTCATGATCAGCTGAACACAGCAGGACAGAGAGAGAGAGAGAGTGATGCAAGGTGAGGCTGACGTGGAAAGCCACAGCACAAGGGTGAAATAATAAGACTGACATTTTCTAAAGCCCATACTGACTATAGGGTGGAGGATGGGTTGGAAGGAAGCCAGGAGGATGCTGGGAAACCAATAAGAGGCAGTTTTAATAGTCTATGAGAAATAATATTGGCCTGAATTAAGGAGGTAGCAAAGAAAAAGCCAGAAATGAATGAATAATTCAAAATCTGTTTTGGAAGTCCAATTGATTGTTCTACCAAAATCTAATTTTAATAATAAAATCTATTTTTCAAAGTACAAAATAACATGACAGTTTAAGGCTCACCTCCTCACATAATGACAAGAGGGATGATTTAGATCTTTACAGTTATCATAAAACCCGTGCTCTTTACTCGGTTGGCAGGAGAGCATATTTACAAAGTATGTAATATGTGTAGAATTAAGTTCATTTGGTTTCTCTCAGTTTTGTTTTGAGTTAT